TGGACCTTCGGAAGTTTTAATTTGTATTTAGAGATTCTTTGTGGAGAGCTGCAGTTTGGTGAGAGAGGGGTCCCTTCCAGGAGGCTTCTAACATTCCTCAAATTCCAAGAGTGGGGTCTCAGCGGAAGGGAAGTTCAGTTTGTCAGTGATCACGGATGGGTTCAGACAAAAATCTTGGCTTTAACCTTGTTTGCAAATGTAAAATACATTAAAACAATTAACTTTGCTTTGAAAAATGAGAGTGTGTTAAGGGGATGCAAACATCTATTATCTTTGGACACATTTCTACACCAGTTCTCTGCTGGGCAGCAGAATGTGGTCGGTTTTGGAGTCTGCTGTGAGATCAGGTTACCGAGTGCCTCTCTGAGCAGCTGTCCTGGTGCCAGCTGTGGAGAAAAGCCACAGAGTACATTAAAAACCCATCCAGATCCAATGGAACCCCAAAAGCCAGCATGTAAGGATAGAAAGCAATGCGTTCTCTCTAGGCTCCTCGGCCTTGTCTACAGGAGATGCTTTGTGCCCATTTTCCAGCAGTAGCAGATGAGGATCTCCAATGTGGGCATTTATAATGTTACACAGCCTGTTGTAAATCCTGTGCAAAATTTGTAAGTGGGGCCCTTGGTTAGAAGCCTGGTATGATAGTTAAGGAATAAGAATCAGGGCACCTGGGCCCTATTGCTGGATCTGTCACAAATTTGTGTGAGCTTGGATAATGACCTAAACTCACTTTGCCTAGTGTTCTTCAAATATACCAGAGAATTTGGTTCCTTTGAAAATCCCAGTCTCCATCTGCAAAATAGATATAATTCTTCCCTACTTAGCTTATGGTGCTTAATTAGTTAGTAATTGTATGAGATCCCGATACAGGAGGCCAGAAATTTATTATTATAAATGCCAGAGCTTTGAGTTACTAAGCAGTTCTGGCCACTAACTAATACAGAGCTGGAGGAACCCCTGGCTTGATTTAGCCTAACCATTCTTCTGTTCCTGTTCTTTGCACAGACATCTTCTGCATACACAAACAGAGCCTCAAACAATCCTGACCCTCTGGTAGCCTCTGATAGCATTAGGAACTCAGTAGGTCTGTATCTGATTGTGTTGATCTGTTGTAGTGAGACACTGACACCTCAGCTAAAACCAGTTACGGGTACGTTGGGCAGTTTTTCTGATTGCAGGGGAAGCTCAAAGAGACACTTTTCCCCTGAAGGTCTTTGAATAATCAGGTCTCAGTTTCACAACTACCAATGGCCTCGCATGAGAATTCCAAGCCAAGATGTTTGTTCCAAAGCAGACCAGGCTTTGCTCACAGCTGCGCTGTTCTTACTGAGACTTGCGTATTGTGTAGTTTTCCTCCCTTTTCTCAAAGAACAAGATAAATTGCATCATGCTTCATCTTCATGGACATGGACTGGTGGGAATTTGCAACATGCACACCTGCCTGATTTTACTATGTTTTAGCATGTAAACCAGGAATGCAAATAGGGTAAATGTGGTTGCTTGGATGTACTGATTTTGGTTATATCAGTTAAAAAAAAGTATTAGAAACAAAACAGCATCTTGGAATATGTGCTACATGGAAGAGTACAATAAGTACCGTGGCAAGGAAGTTTGGTGCCCAGGGCAAAGCCTGCAGTGGCAGTAGAAGCCCACCCACGCTCTGCGCACAGATCTAAGGGACACCCCTCCCTGGGTTTGACCAGGAGTGCACGCAGCGGCAGGACCCTCCCTCCCCCCGTTCCCACACCCCCCACAAACAAGCTACTCGTGGCTCTGTCCTGTGCTCTGCGACAGCTGGGCAGCGCCTTTTGGCGCTCCTTTGCTTCGGCACCTGGGGAGGTTGCCCCACTTGCCCCCCCACCCCCTGCCTTGGTACTTCACTGAGTACAATACGCTTCTTGCTGTACTCCAAGGATATAAATGTTTAGTGGAAGTAGCCTGTCTCTTTTACGTATGTATGAATATTAATTTTATAGTGTATCTAAGGAAGACTTAGAGTGTATATGTTGTTAAATTTATCACATGCTCTTCCTGCATTAAGTTAGTTCATGAAAATGCAGCAACTGAACACTCAGTGAGTATTGGTGTGAGATTTTAAAAGGCCAATCAAGGCAGCAAAGACGGTTGCAGAATGCTGATGTTCCAACCAGCATGCCTGGAATTAGATACAGGACCTACCCCTGCTACTCTGAAATAACCTGAGAGAAGGGATAGGTTTTGAGGAGAGCCCTGAAGTTAATCATTTGGAAAAAGGAGATCATCTCATGTAGTGTTTGGAGATGAAGGTCCTACCATGTGTCATTGGGAAGATAGATTTCCCAAATTTGCAGTAAAGTGTTCCATTTGATTTATACTCTGTGCCAGCAGTGTCCAAAGAAATTGGTCTTTCTGATTATCCCAGGTCCTTGGCCTATGCCTGCTTTGTGACAGCTTGATAGTAATTTGTCCCTGAGTTTCAGACCAAACAAGGACAGTTTCTAACACTGTTGTCTGCATGCCTGTTTCCTGCTTCTTTCATAAATTGTAGTTGGGGAGGACTATCTATCCAGAGAATCTAGTGAATGTCACTGTCCTGAATATACCATTGCCAGTCGTGTGTGCCTACTAGCTCAGTCAGTAGCAGCCTGAAAGTTCAGAATTTGCTGGCATCATCTGGGCCAGTGGGGGCCAATCCTTTTAGCAGGCATGCCACAAATTATGCTCCATGCCCTCTTTGAGTGCCACCCAGTCCTCTTCCTGGGCTTGATCTCTTGCTCTGCTTTGTGCTCCCTGCCCTACCTGCCACTGTGCTGCCTACCCCCTTCCCAATCTACTTGTGCTCTCAGAGCTGGCCACCCTCCTGTGGCCTTCAGAATCACTATAATTTTGGGGCTATCTGGTGTTTCCATCAGCACTGTCTGCAGTGATTTTGGTCTTTTGAGTCTTCCACAAAGAGGATAGAAAGCCAAGGACATTGTCCTTTCTTCTTTAAGACAGTCCTTCTCCCACTGAAACACATGAAAACATTGCCTAAGACTTCTCTGCAACCATCACCCCCCACTCCCGTCCCCCATCTCTCCTTGTTTCTTTCAGCTTTATTCCTGACCTGACCCATTTCAGACTCAACCTTCCCTGTTAATATTTCTCAGAATCTTTGCCTCTATCTCTTTTCCTTTTGTGCTGGGCTCTCTTTTGTAAATCTCCCTCACTTTGCATAACACTGGCTGGCCCTCCAAAACCTTCTGTGTCCCCTTCCTCACCTCCCTGTGATGTATGGCAAAAGGTCCTGGCTGCACTTGTTAATATTTTTGCTTCTTTAGGAACAGCTGATAGAGGGAGTAGGACAACTTGGAAGTAACCAGGGCTCAGCTTCAAGAGGATAGCTGGATAGGTGTCCAGATATCCTAAACATGTGGTCTCATGGTTTGAGCACTTTGCTGGGAAGCAGGAGATGTGGATTCAAAATCTTTCTGGGTTGAAGGGGGTCTACAACCTGTGTCTCCCACTCCCTGGTCCAGCACTCTCCTCATGAGGCATTTGGGCTAAAACATGAAAGGGTCCTCTTCCTCCTTGATGCCAGATAGTACTTGTACGGGGCAAAATAGAATCCAAAACTGTGTGAGAGTGCCAAAAACTAGTTACATGGCTGCATATATACTGTTTAGGTGCATAAAGTGAAATAGGATTCTGTTCTGCATGTCACTTAGTACTTTGCATTACTTGGATGTCAAACAACGTGGTTTGGATTCCAGAGGCCTGTGATCTGCTACCTCTCTGCAGGGTAACCTTTGGCAAGTCTCTTCCCCTTTCTGCCTCTGCTTGCTTTATGTCTCTCTTCTCTGTTTAGACTGCAGAGCAAGGACTCTCTCCCCAGGTGTCTGTGCAGTGCTAGGAATTGAAGGCACAGGAGCCAGCGTTATTGTGGGTGGGGGTTACAGTGTTTGCATTCTGTCTCTGGATTAAGCAAATTGCTGTCACATTTCCTGAAATTAAGAGAATTTAATTAGCAAAAGGTCAAACTCTTCCCTCCCTAGAGCCACGCAAGAGGGGCACAGGGCAGAGGTCACCTGTGTGGGAGGGGTTCATAAAAGCAACACTAGCTTTGTGGCTTTAGCAACACTATCAACCCTATTTGAGTGGCATGCTTCAATGGTAAGGCTCAAAGCCATTTAAGTGGGTTTGTGGTGTTGCCAAAAGTGATGTTATTACCCTACCACTGTGACAAAGAGCAGGTACTTTTTCCTTTCCACCTGTTCAGACTGCCATCGCAGGGGTCCTGTGTTTCCTTTCTACCTATGCAGTCTGCCATTGCAAGAGTCAAGCGTTTCCTTTCTCCTTATTTTCTCCCATTGCACTTGATAAGAGCAATACCACTGTGTGGGCCTGGTGCATAAATGGTGCATGTAAGTGCCAGATTGCAGCCAGGCTGGGGACATGAATGTTGTGATTGTAAGTGTAACAGGAGAGAGATGTCCTAGGTCAGGCTGTGTGCTGAGACTCCGGAGAAATGGGAGCTTCAGCAATGAGGCAGCCAGCCGGCTACTCTCTTGGCAGGGATCCTGACATTGTTGTCCAGGGAGCAATCTGTGCCACTCCTAGGATGGGGCTTGATGGACTTTGGGGAGGGGAGAGGAGGGGAGTCAGGAATAGAGATGAATGAAATGCCACCAGGAGGTAAAGCCTTGGGGTTAGGAACAGTGGGAGTGGCAATTCCCGCTCCCCCAACCATTAATTTCTGCTTGCTCAACACAAAGCACAAACCAGAGCCAAGAATGTTGTGGTGCCTGCAGATTACGGCAACTTGTTCCAGCCAGCATCAAACCAGCTGCTGCAAAACTGGAGGTGCTCAGAAAATGAGTTTGTAGCCGAGATAAAGGCAGTGAGGACTCAGATTACAATGCCTGGGTGGATCAGATCTCCTGTCAAGCAGATGTATGGGGCCTTTAGGGCCCGCCTAGGGGAGGGCACAAAGAGGGATGGGCTCTTGCAAAGTTGCTTCTCTGGAGTCTGTTTCAGAGCTGTGAGAGATTTTGGGAGGTACTTACTCTCTCTCAGACTCTCCTGTAAAACACTTGGTGTGGAAGTACCCTCTGTCTTTCAGAGATGAGTTTTTCTACAGCAGATTTTTCCTTGCTGAGTAGCTGCTCTGGTTTCTTGTGGTGGATAGACCAATGTTAAGTGTCAAGTTTGGATGCAGAGTTTGTGCTTTCAGGTAAGAGCATTATTTTTTGGAGTATAGGCATACACAGTATTTCCCCTGTAGTGACTAAAGTTAAATAAAAAGGAACTGCTTGAACCCGTGACAACATAAATGAATGCTAAAGCAGGCGCTGGAAAACAAACTGGATTATATTCTGTGTAAGGGGAATCAGTTTGTATGGATCCATTGTTCTGACTTGATGGGATTTGATTGTGGTTACTAGTGGGAACATAAATTCAGTCATACACCCCTGTTTGTTTCCACACCATATTGGTTATCAGTAATTCATTAATTTGTGTTAAATGCCTTTGCAAACCTGAAGCAGCTGGGGAACAGCTTTCAATTGTACTGAATATTAGAAAATAAAAAGCAAGGGCATTAAGGCATTTATTTTTTGTTGAAAGAGTAAATTTGAATTTTCTGTAAGCCAGGTGCAGTTCTAATTGTGAATAAGTAAGAAGATGTATAGAGAAAGCAGCTAGGGCAAAGAAATGAGGCACATTCTGCGCTCCTTTCACAATGTTTCACTGGGTGGTGGGTGTGGAGTGACTGTTACTGGTACCTAACACTGACTGCAGAGTCAGTTCAAGTAATGGGCAACTTTATGGGAAAGACTTGTGCTGTGATTTGCATGGTGTGATGAGGAAGAGAACTCAGCAATGTGCATTCAGCGGGAAAACAGGCTGTTGAGTTGTTACTGTATGCCTCAAATATTTCTTCTTACCAGGCAAATAACCACTTGTAAATCCCAGTTTTGTAAGATTCCAAAGAAGGAGGTACGTCCTGGGAAGGAAATGTTTGTGCTTTGAGCAATGGACCTGGCTGGCTCCTTTGTGCATCATGGAACTGACCTGATTTCCATTTGCTGGTGCTGGATGATTTTTGTTTCGTTTCTTCTGTTTAATGTTGGTTTGTGGTGATCTCTGCCCTTGATGCTGAACTACCAAGGTCACTTTCGTATTCTGAAGTAGTGCTGAAGTGACAGGAAAGCTGCCAGAAGCAGTCATAGGCACTTACCTGGTAATACCTGGACCGCACCCATGTCACCAGTTTGCAGAGGTATAGCCTGTGACTTCCTTCATTTCAGAGGGATTTAGTAACTCTGAAACTTTTCCATGCGCTTCATCTTGGTGTTTGTCTGAAGCAGCATTGAAGACTCCGTTGTTTAGGTCAGTGATTCTCAACCTTTTTTGTACCAGGATCCATTTGTAAACATCAATGGCCAGTCCCCACCCAGTGCCCCTCACTCCTGACCTGCTGCCCCCCTAGGTCCCAGCCCCCCAGTGTGTGGGCCAGGGGTGTGTGTGTGGGACACGGGGAGCCCCAAACACCCCCTTGCAGGAACTCTGACAGCCTGCAAGGGACAAGACACTGTTTCCCACATTGTTCCCCCTTAAAGGATCATTCATTTTTAAAGTTTGTTGATCCATTTCTAAAGTTTGTTTGTGATCCTTTCATATATTCTTGTGACCCACAGGTTGAGAAACACTGGTTTATGTGCATATGGAAGGAACTAGTTTCACAAACCTGGGCTCTACATATATATACTTAGCACGTTTCCTTTGTTGTTTTATGCAGCTTGGTAAAGAGAAACTGTGGTTTTTGACTGCTTGTGATGTAAATGTTCTTAGTAAAAGGAAAGTAA